CTTCAATCTTGGCTCATTTTCTTCTCTTAGGGTGGGGCATGTTTCCGGAACATCCTGACCCGATCTGCCGAAAAATGTGCCCCCCACGGGGGTCAAGGACTTTTTGGCAAAAATTCAAGGCGAAATAACTCGAAATCCGTGCTTCTCACAGGAACGTTTATTTAGATGAAAAATCATCCCCAGACTTGTTTTATGATATGCCGTTGGGAAAATTTCAAAATTAGAAAAAATTTTTTTTTTCGTGATTTTTGCCGGATTTTTTCAAAGTTTCTCCCCACCCCCGGGGTGGGGAAAATTTCAAACGAGTTATTCTCAGCCGGGATTAAAGCCACAGGCGCCAAACTTGGCACACATGTTGGGCATGATTGCAGGTATGCCATAATTTTTTTTGGGCCATATAGGAATGTTTTTGTGGCGACAACGAATTAAAATCTAATTTTCTTCAAATGAGTTTTTTGTGAGAACTGCGCAGTCGATCGTCACCAATTTTGACACGCATACAGGGACCATCGGCGTGTCTTATGTAAACTTTTTTGAGGGGGTCATCATTATGAATTTTTTCGAGAAAAAAATTCAAAACCGAAATATTTGAAAATTTTTGAAATTTTTTTTTTCAGTCAGAAAAAAAGCCACACGTCTCAAACTTGGTACACATGTTGACCATGATGGGAAATTTTGTTTGAGTTAAAATACGACAGTTGCAGAGTGAACTGATGATTACTCATAATGTGCCTGATGCTGCAATTGGATAGATTTAAATTATGCCTGTGGGTGTTGGAATATGCTTTTTGTGGGCGATATTTTGTTGGACTACCGAGGGTTATTATAGAGTTTAGTATTGGGAAAACGCGAGCCATTGTTTATGAGATATGTTGGCGTGACTGATGAATGATGAAGATTCGAGTGTTGCGATTGTTGTGATGGCTATTCTAGATTGATTATTTTGATAAGTGATAAGACATGGGAGTGTAAGAATATATTGTATTATGTGAATGATGGAGAGTGTATGGTGGGGTTGTTTGAAGTGAGTGAATTGGTGATGATGTGTTTGGAGAGAAAAGATTGCGCTAAATTGACTGATGAATTTGGTATATGTTGTTTATGATATTATTTCTTGTTGTTTTAGTTGTACGGTTTGTATATGTTTGTTGTATGTGTGTATTTTCTAGAGGGATGTCTGCGGTTGTGATGGTCCCGTGTATGCTGGTTAGTAGCTTTAAACGAGTGCAAACACTTTGCAATTAATCGGTTTTTGACCGAAATGCTCTTGACCACGTTTGAACACGGTTTTCATGACGTTGTTAGTTCAACGCAAAAGTTTTAGTTATGCTCATTTTATTTTCCTTCATATTTTTCCACTATGCCAACGAATAAATAATGTCTTGAGTGTAGAAATAGTGTAGTTTTAGAGCCAACACCTGTCTGCACAAATTTCGTCACTAAAGTTTAAAAGTCAACACCTGTCTGCAAGTCTTTTAGCAAAAATTTCTGAATGATGCAACCATACAAGGATTACATCATCATAATCTAAGCGGTTCCCTCGTCTATAGCCTCGCTTCCGGACTGGACTCTTGGGTCTGACAGCAGTCACACGTACGTCACAGGCTGACTCACAGCAGGGCTCCTAGCGCTGGGTTTTGTCTGTTTTTTTTTTTTGGCCGTCACCTGGGTGTCTGGGTGTATTTTTCTTTTAAATGGCAAAATCTGGGTTTTTCGTTAAGTTAATTTTAGCCAATAATATAATTGAAATATTGTCAATGCCTTAAATTTGATTATGCAGTCAATACACAATGAATGGAGCAACGCACTAACCGTCAGACTGTATATTGTCCCTAGCTGAGAGATGGTACTGGTATTGTACGCGTTCATTACCAGTATTGAACGCGTTCATTACCAGTCAAAGCAACGGTTCCCAACTTCTCGTCGTACACTTCAGTGACTTGACTTCACAGACTGCACTCAGTGCTGCCAGCGCTAGGTTTAGGTTTCTAGGTTTTTAATTTACAAACTGATCTTAATCTAAGTTTTTTTGAGAATGATGCACTGAAAGCAAAAATCAATCAATAATTATTGTCAAGAAAGTGCAAATACTACTTGTTATAATTTTTAATACATGTTCGTACAAGTTCGTGCAGAACTCGTACAGTTCTCGTGCGTGTCGGGTAAAAATGAAGAGCCAGTTCAGTTGTGGTACTGTACTGCACTGCGCGTTCGGAGCTCGTGTAAGTAGGATGGTGCTGCTCGTGCTCATCACATAATGCCCACAGTTTTCATGTGTTTCCTATTGTCATTTTCTATGTGTGAGACTCTATAATTGGTGTTAATGAGTTGAGATTAAAGTTGTTTTGTGTTTAACGTTATTGACCATTATGAACTAGCCCACAGCATACCGTTAGCGTCTTCGGCGTTGAAGAAATAAGCCGATTCCTGTACTTTTCGTGACATAAAAACTGGACTTCAAACAAGATCTCTTCGACTGACATTGATTTTACATTATCAATGGACTATCACCTGTTCCGTAAGGTGCTAGGCATTTCAAGACGTTCATACTCGGAGCATCATCATGGCATGAAGGCTGTGCCACATGTCGGTGACTCGCAGCCCGTCTCATATTGTAGCACAAGAGTCGTTGTAAAATTTATCTCAAGGTCGACTGGTCGTTGAACAACCGCATGCCAGTCGATAGTCGATAGGAAATGTGCTGTCGTTAGTCGATAGGTTTCTTCAGTAGTTCGATAACTTAACAATGCAAACATTAGTCGTTAATAATTAGATAACCTCAAGTTTATGTACATTATATTCTTTATATGCAACAAACCTCACGGATAACGCATTAATGGTTTAATTTTTTCAAACCAGCGGAGCCTGCAGCCTGCTTAGGTTTCTTTGCTAATGAATTCACCGCTCCACCTCAGATCCGTAAATATTGTGCGTAAACAAATGCAAGCTTTCCCTAAAATACGGAGGTCACACCTTACTCTTACCCAGAACTGCTTACTCAGTTTTAAATACTCCATCACCAGAATTACCAAACCTAAACTCTATTTAATATATGGAGATATGCATTCGACGAATGCGAGCCACTCACGAATGTGATTCGCGAATTTCATATTCTCCCAGGAATATCCAATCAATACCAGTTACAGAGTGAAAAAAATAAAACTACGGAAGTGCACCTCTGTTGTTCACGAGCGTACTGCAAATTTAAGCGTAACACATTCCTGAATCATTCATCACAGAGTGAACTTAACAAATAAAATGATCTAAATGTAGAAGTCAACCTTGTGAATCAAGTCACGAAAAGTACAAGAATCGGCAACAGGCCATGGGCCTATTTCTTCAGTGCCGACACTTCGATTCTATTCTATGAAGTGATGTGACTTGCTATTTTTTCAAATTTGCAGTGTATATGTTGACATCGTGACATCATCTAGAACGGGAAATTTTAAAAGGGTATCAAGATTCAGATGCAGTAAATGAAAAATAGAATACGCCCACTTTATTTATGGTATTTAATTTTACGATAGGGGCTTCTTCCCAAGGCACGTGATGAGCATTCTTTCAACTAGGTAGCATATCATAATTAAATCACGAACAAGAACTCACTAAAGCCTTCAGCACGTGTTTAGATCATAGAATTTCTTTCCGACTACCGCTGCATTCTCAAGTTATATGACTGATCATTAGACTCGTGATCTGTCACCCAAGACGACCAAAAATTATATCCAAACTTCAGATATGATTCCAATGAAAAATTGCACTCAAAACTTTTTCTCGCGTTTATGTAGTACATTTTTTGTGCATAATAATCTCGTTCACTAATTATAGGGCCATTTGGTTTTTACCATTTTTATTCAGATCTGACGTGAAATTAACCTCAACATCCATGATAATTGAATCTTGGGCTTACACAGTTCATTTATTTAAGTAAAAACATTTGCCATTGAGCTGCCCATTCAAGCCTGTAACTCACGGAAAAAATAAAATTTCGCATGGTATTTATAAGTCATTTATTAGCAAAAGAAAATTGAAAAAACAAATTTCCCATTGATTCATAGTAAAGCGTGTGATCTGACATGCAACACAATGGTACTTGTATGAATTTTTCCAGTGATATGAATATCATTGATAGAATTTGCGCGTGTTACAAACGTCTCGGACAAATTTGAGACCGGACATGCGGCCGGCCTCACGGCAAATCTCTAAATTCAGTGAGCAAGGAATATCTCTCAAAGTAATGACCGTAGCTCAACGAAACTTGGTACACGTTTTCATTAGGACCTAGTGGTGATGTAGAGCACGTGAAAATTTTTGGAATTTCACCTTCATTCGTGAGTTATATGGCGATACGTGCCGAAATTTGCTGTGAACAAGACATTTTTAGCGCATTTTCTCATTTATGGAAAAAATGCCCTAGTGTTCTCGTCATATCCGTCTGTCAGTCCGTCAGTCTGTCCGTGACTTCACATTTTCGTCGACGAAAAAATGCGCTCTCTGTTACTCACTTCAGTGAGTACTGAGTTACATTTTTAGCGCATTTTCTCATGTATATGGAATAAATGCACTATTGTGCTCGCCATGTCCGTCTGTCTGTCTGTCTGTCCGTCCGTGACTTCATGTTTTCGTCGACGAGAAAATTCGCTCTCTGTCACTCATTGCAGTGAGTACTGAGTTATATTTTTTCTAACTACTGTACATATTTGAACGAAACTTTTAATATCCAAACCAATATCCAACTTATTCATCAGGACCTAACGTTAATGTTAAGCTTGTAAAAAAATTTTCCATTTCACCTTCATTTGTGAGTTATAAATTGGGGCGGTCGCAGCGAGAATACGTAAATGTTATTGCACGCGTGAAGTGCGACGCAGTTATTTTGGCCTATAGCCATGATGATGGTTCTTGTTTCAAATTATATTAATTGGTAACTGTATTGGAACTTTAGAGTCTGAGTATCAGAAGGCTGCAGATTTCATACTCTTATTTCATTTTTATTTTTCAGAGTTGCTATCTTTGAATTAATTTGTTGTTTGCAACATTGAGGGCAAGTTTGTGCCATATTTAGGATTAATTTTTCGTAATAAATGTTTTTGGTTGTCAGGACCAACCACTGGAGTATCGGTGGGAACTGGGAACTCTCTGCAAAGACATAACTCTAAAGCGCAACCTTCTTCATCAAGCTCGGCATTTCACCTTCATTTCTGCGAAACCCACCTTGTGTAAGTGGCTAATGCAACACCAAGCTATTTTCAAGGATATCATAAAGTTTCACGTCCTGCCAGCTGCAATCTCGTGTCATTAAATAATTAATTGAAGGTAAAGGCAACCAGGGCTCAGCTGCAACGTTGTCAAGTGAGTCGCAACAGTAGGAGTCTAATCCCTACCCAGTGGAAGCCTAATGTAGGACTTTTGTGACCTATTACCAAATTAAATCTCACGTGCAGGCGCAGCTTTTAACATCAATATCTGCTACTGAAAACTACAATACCAAAACTCTTCACTTCCTAGCACCTACCACGTGGCAGAGTGTCAGATTTGCACACAAAGTTTGGCAAGGCAATGTTCAAGTTACCCCGATTGTATTGTAGCTGCACCAATAGAACTTATAACGATTATTTGCTTCTACACCAATGTATCCATACATGAATTGTTTATAAAATTGCAAAATCTTGTAGGTGCTCAGTATGTGACAGGTAACGGAATTAGAACATGTTTAACTGCCTACATATAGTCATGGTTTTTAATATAGACTACCACGCCCAACACGATCCTCTGATGTCACTATACCTACACTCCCACAGATCCCAAAGGTCCAGTGAAGGACCGACAAATACAATTTTCTGACAATATTCAGAGATCTACTACAATGTTTGCCTTATTATATTATTATTTTGTGTTATTGTTATTTATACATATTACATTATATTTGATTATATGTTATTGTGTTGTATTTTTATATTAATCCACTGTAGCCATGAAATTCTAAAATAATTCATCATATAAGAATATTTATTAAAATTTGACGTAATAATTCGCATCAAAACTTTAAAGGCTCATGTGAAGATATTTTGTTTTCTAATATTATTAGGTAGTTAGAAGTGTCAGTCTTATTAGGTGTCAGAAATCGTAACGGGAGCGTTTGCAACAAGCTTGTTTCTCTTTCAGGAAATCCTGATAAGCATTGAAGAATACAACATGATGAATGAACGAGAGCTGATGCTGAGCTTTGGCGAGAATACCACTACTAGAACTGGCGAGGGAGCTTGGGGAATTGAGAGACTTCTTTCGATTGTGCGCCTCGGCGGTGGTGAGTGAATATAGTAATGTCGTGTTGTGTCCGATATAGTAATGTCGTGTTGTGTCCGATATAGTAATGTCGTGTTGTGTCCGATTCCTGTTCGGTTAACCTGACTCTACCACGTTGCCTCACTACTCGGGTAAGGTTATAACCTCGTTACTTATTGCCAGATTAGTTTGCAGTTTACTATAACCCCTCGCTATTTCACGCTTCACCATTCTTGGCTTCACTTCATAGGGGGTTTTTTCGAAATAATATTGAGAAAATTCGCTCGCAGTTTTTTGCTGGTTCACAGGTTTCTGAAGGAGTCGATCGGCAGGTTTGAAAAAATTGTATCTAAAATTTATGGAAACGCAAATATTTCCAAACTTATAGCAGAATTTTTTATTAATTCTTACAACAATGAAAACTTGCAATAGATATACTTAAATAAGTAATATGAGCCAGTAAATTCACCATCGCGGATTTCTCCTGTCGCGACCAAGGCCGCGACACTTGCAATAGGTGAACGATTACTGTTGAGAAAATTGCATAACCATATCTCTCCTACTCAGTTGAGCTGGGACTTGGGTAAGAATCAGCTATATTTTTTATTAAACTTCTACGTACAAATCGCATTAAGACGGACGAATCGATGATCCGAGTCATTGACGCTCATAAAAGCTCCAACTGATTCGCGCAGTTATTAAACGTCACCCTATTATGTGGTCTAAGATTTGAAATTGTTCTAAATTTTGATTCGTCCTGTAGGAAGCAGCGGCAGCTGGTTCCCAGGGGCGAACTGGAGTAATGCGATCAGGTTCGTCCCGAGGGCTGACTCCTCCCCAGACACCGTGTACTACAAGACCCTGGAGCAGTTGTGTGACGACATGGAGCGCTGCTCCAGAGTGGACGGGGACCTGGTGGAAGAAGTGTCTTATTATGTCACGCGTCTAGCGTCAAACCAAGAAAGTCTTGCATTCATGTTCGGGATGAGTGCTGTAGCCACCGACCGTTTGTTCTCTTGGAACCAATTCCACGAAAGTTTTAGGCGTAATTTCGTTCTATTCCCCGAAAGTTTTAAGCACAATTTCGTTCTACTCAAGATCGGAAGGGGATATTGGTCAGTGGACAAGTTCCGCGATGGAATCGTAATACAGCGAAGCTTATCGGAGTCTCAGCTCAAGAACAAGTGCTTGAACAATCCCAGGATCATAGAGGATAGTGGCTGCAGGCTTGAATGCAGCCGTCGCAACAAGTTCCATTCAACTTCCTCGCGGCCAATTAAAACAATGAAGGATTTCATTGGATGGATGAAGGAATCTGAACATCTTAGCAGGCCGTATAATGTGATGTTCAGCAACTGCGTTGACCTAACCAAGGAGTTGGAAAAGAAATTTCATCAATGAGTTGCATGCAACTCATTCGCAGATATTTAAGAAGGCCTACTTTGCAACGACGACGATTTGCACACTAAATGTATTTCTATGTTCTAATTCACCAAAATATTATGGTCAGTAATTACGTTGGACTTCCACTTCGAAATGCCAGGAACCATAAAATTTATCCGCTAGTGACTTCGTTGCTGAAATTCTTTACTTTTGAAATTCTGAGCGCAAAAAGGTTCCAGTGTTGAAATTTCTTGATAATTTTAATAAAAATCTGATGGCGTGATTGTGATCATTTTTTCATGTTAAAAGACTTTCATGGAAATCCGATACATCGAACTGATTAAATATTTTGCTGGTAAGAAAACGGGATCAAAGAAAATATGAGTGTGAAATTTTCTTTTGCTCACAACCTTCACCGAATATTTATAGTTGAACTGTCACTTTATGGGAATAATATGCCTGCATTTATCATCTATGTTGTCTCATCCGACTTTAAACGAGCTAATTTTATCGTATAGATAATAAGTTTTCTGCACACTCATTTCTAAATCTACATTCCGTCTATTACGAATGTAATAGACGAATGTAGTAAGTAATAGACGAATGTGTTTTGCAAATCCACTGTCAGATTGCATGCCGAGTTTGAGGTCCCCAAGATACACGTCGTCACTCAATTTTGTCCAGTATCTAAAATACACCGTTTGATGCTGACAGGCAAAACCTTGAATGGATCTGTCTGATCTACTAATTAGACGTAGATTGACCTGAGGGGTTTTGGTTCATTTATAAATTGTCCGAATAACAGATTAAATACTCATCGGCCAGGGAAGGATAAATAACAAGTCGTGTATCTAAGCTTAAGTATTGAAGAAAGGTTCATGGGATACACTCGATAGAAGTTACAGGATCAAGCACAGTATGTGCAGTAGATTGGGAGATAGAGTTAACGACACTACATATTGGTCTGAGTGCCGGAGTCTGCATGACTGCAGCTGAAGGCTGTCTGCCTAAGACTGAGACTCTGCTGGGACTGACTAACAGTGCGCTTTCTCAGCTTATATACGCGGTGACCCACGAGTAGTGACGTCACAGAAGGTGACGTAATAGTCAGTAATGACATCACAACCTGACAATTTATTGGAACGGTTAGCCAGTTATGCGCCGCTTGCATTGTTTGGATTTAAACACTCACTGCTGGACTTTTTTCATTGTATTTTTTTTGCCTTTCCTTCAAGCCTAGTAATTCATTATTTATTTCGTGCACTTGTTCAATACTCGCCTATTTTAACTTAATCTAAACATCCTAGTATAGCTTCATTGTGATGAGTTACATGTATATGCTTCTTGAACTTGTGTAAAATTCATGATCGTGTAATCTCGGTTGATCAATACATCATGTTCCTAAAACACATTGTACGGGTGTGCGAACTTGACAAGAAGCTGCTCCGAGAAACTGTAAGAGGCTTTGAAAGCAGAGGCCACCAAACTCTTCACAAAGCCGGCATGAGAAGGCCTAAGCGCCTAACTTCAGTAAGATTCAAGATTCGATCACTGTTTTAGCTGACTTTTTTGCAAGGACAAGTGACTTAACACGCGAGGCCTGTTGTACTGTAATCAATAGCAGTTAATATTGGCAAGTTGTAGTAGCTGCCACTATACTAGCCCCATGGACAGGGGAGTTATGGGATACATTTTCCACGTTTCTACAGTTTCGTTTCATCGACTTCCAAGCCACACTTGCATTCCACGACAATTTCTTGATTTGAATGTTTGTCCTGACCACATCCTCTCATCTATTCCTCTTTAAATGGCGATACTTGAAACCTTGCTATTATTTGAGTTAAATCATAAATGTCATTGTTATCCACTTGCCACTACCCGGCAGCAACGAGTGTCCACAGATAACGAGAGTTGACGCTCAAGTTAGTATATAACATTTGTTGCAGGTATTTTAGAAGGTTTAATTGAGGAATCGAATTATTGTTCTGCTGTCATTTTATCACTGTATGCATGTATATGATAGTATAAGTATAATGGTATGTATGACATACTATATTTAACCGATGTAAAGGAAACGCGTCAGGTGCATTCAACTTGACAATACAAAACACGAAATATTTCAAATAAATTTAATGTGAATATTTTCAGCTTAAATTTGCCTTAACTTACAAGATGTATTTGCTTATGTAATGTGTTCTTACAGTTTTCTTTGATATAATTGGAAACGCATCGAGGAAACTCTGATCCCATATTTGTGTGCGATGAGTTGTAATGAAAAACTTAATAAAAATAATAAAAACTAGAACATAACTATAATAATAATGTACTTAATACTTAATTATGTACTTATTACTAATATAAATTACTTATTAATGTAAAATAAATGTGTTTGCCGAGAATTAAGATCAATAAAGATATCTCGCTGTTCATTTCTCCTTGCGAATGTTTTGATGCTTCGGATGACACCGCACGGTTCGTTCAACTGCTGCCACGAACAAGGTAATACCCGTGCAGGTCCTTAGAAAAATCCCAACTTCAATAGCTGCAAGAAAACCAAAATTTCTTTTCTGACGTTTTCAATTTGGCGTTTTTGGCTTAAAAGTTTTAAAGAACTCTTGTAGTGAAGAATTGATTATGAGAATTACCTCTTGTGATGTATCAAGAATTTTTGAGACGCCTGTGACTCTGTGTAGACAGTCGTGTCAATGAGTTGCTAACAGGGGTTCTCTATTCAAAATATATTTCCTTCTGATAATTCCAATATGAATAATTTGTATGAATAGCTGTATTCATTAAAGAAATTGAATTGTATTCATTAAACAATTTAGTTTACACTCCAAAGTATGTATGTAAAGTATAAACCTCAATCTTGCAAAAAAAAACTGTTAATTTTTATGTACTTTGTGTCATCGGAACTTAGCGATACAGTAAACGCGAGGTTCCATTGAATCTACATGGCTGTCTCACATAAGACTGCTCTCCCGAGCGTCGTCTGCAGTATGCCTGCAGTAATGCACTCTATGGGAGCCTCACTCAAATGTGATCGTTTTACTTTAAACTTTCTTAACCTTAATGTAGAAGAAAAAACAATAGATTTATGAGACGCAACTTCGCAAGTTCTTTTTCTGGGTGACCCCGCTAGCTTGCCGCAGTACCCCCTCCGTTACACGGACTTACGTTGTTTATTGGGGAAATTTTTCCCTCGTAGCTAATATACCCGACATTATATTCCAGCAGTGGAAACGAAGAAAGCTATAGAAATCTACTTTATGATCAAGTTGGTGTACTCGAATGTAGGTTTAACAGCGATAGATCAGTGTACGATATACTGAAGCGAGCGAAACGGTTTCGGATGTGGGATTAATAAACGCGCTTCTCTACCTAAACTTTGCAATATTTCAGCGATGATAAAAAAATTGACTATAGAACCCCTTGAATATTAGCACCAACTCCTATTAATGAACATTATTTAAACTTTCATTTGCAGGAAATATATCAATGTTCTTAGCAAAACTGCTTTTTCTTATGTCCTAAATTCATGTTTATATACTCACTACCCATCTTTGTGTGACAATGAAAATTACATTTTACTTAGAAAATAAAAATTCAGTATTCATTATCTAATAATGAATACTAATAATTAATTAATCATCACTACTTCTCAGAATAAATTTTGTGTAAGTCGAAAATGTTATGTCTAGTCGTGACTCATTAACTTTGGTTTGGTAAAAACATGGTGAGCGGAAACTGGGAGTTTACCAAGGGAAGGCATTGCAATTTCGCGAGTTACATGCTGGCCACAATATTCATCTTCTAACCAAACTGCACGACGAGTTCTCCACGCCAGGCCTCGGCTATGACTGCTACTCCCATGTTTATATTAGAGCTAATTGAATCATCGTCACATAAAATAGGTACCGTAGGCATTATTATCCATGTTTGCTTTAATTTCAGATTATCTTTGGCTTAAAAAATTTTGTCTCGCTATACACTTTTATGGATTGTACTTGGTGAAGCCGTGGTCCATACCGGCAGCTCCATCCCTCACCATCAGCTGTCGCTCTGACGTTGCTTTGCTGAGAAGAGCGCATGGCTCGGTGCTAGCTACTCGACACAGCTCCATCAACATTGAGTAGAATCTATGCGGAATTGTGTGGATAATTATCATGCAAATGTGTAGTATTAGGTTTAATATGCAAAATATATGTGACGTGCTAACAAGTGTCAGAATTCCAACTTATGTCACTTTCGATAATGTTTTGATATGAACTTCTGAGGTTTCTCTTTCAATTCATAATCGAGACTTGTATTTATCACAAAGAACGACGCAACGAACTGTGAATTTCGAGACGTCTGCCTGGACTTAACTTGGACTTAATGAAAAATGAAACACGCTCCACGGAGGGCGTAACAAAAATTTAAAGAAGATTTTTTTGCCTAAAACATTTTGTTTACTTGCCAAAATAAGAGTTTTTTTCTGACGGGCGATGCCAGCGTTACAGCTTCCGTCATTAAGCGCTTCACAGACCCGCATTGAAGCGCCTGAGGTTAGTATCCGGTTTGGGTGGCCCGATATTGGGCGTATTTACGGCATTATGACGCCCAATACCTAAATGTAATTTAAAAGAAATTGCCGTGCATAGTTTCAAGTAACGATTTTGGTCATGGTAGATTCAGTATTTGTTGTCGCACTTAAGCTGTCTTCAAGTCATATAGATATGAGAAGCTCACCAGTTTGTCGGGTCTGTAGGGGAACCGACCTTGAATTGGTTTGCCATCTCATGCATGATTTGCAACGATGCGGTCGCGGACTCGCGGCTGCTGCAGCTGCACCACAGCTGCAGTCGCCGCTCGTGCTTCATTGAGACAGGGTGTGTTGCGCATGGCGTGTATTGGAACAAACCTCGATCCTGGCCGAACTCTCGTTGGAGGTTTAATCCACTGACGACTGATCACTTAGTCCTAAGTTATGGCCTTGGACGCTGCGCCTGTTTAATTGGTGGCGTTGACTATCCAGCAAATAACGCTATTTCTCTGATGAATTGTGTTTTTAGGAAGGAGTTTCTGCGTCATGTTGCCCACTGAAAATTAGTTCCGAAAATTAATACCGGATGTTTCATATTTAAGCTGGTCAACAACTGAAAGACAGAAAACTTTGCTCAAAGGCTCATAGCAGCATGTTCGGGCTTCCCTGTGGTGACTGTGTGTTAACAATATTCCGTCATAGCAGTTTTTATTATAGCAGCGTTCTTTCAAAGCAGTGTTTAGTAATGGCTGTTCCGTCTGACAGTGTTCTGTCATAGCAGTAAAGTTAATCTCGTTTTCATCTTAGGTTGAGCAGGTACCATAAGAGGGCAGTTGGTCGTAGGTTCAGCAGGCCATATAAGGAGGCAGTTGGTCGTAGGTTCAGCAGGCATCATAAGGAGGCAGTTGGTCGTAGGTTCAGCAGGCACCATAAGGAGGCAGTTGGTCGTATAGGTTCAGCAGGCACCATAAGGAGGCAGTTGGTCGTAGGTTCAGCAGGCACCATAAGGAGGCAGTTGGTCGTAGGTTCAGCAGGCACCATAAGGAGACAGTTGGTCGTATAGGTTCAGCAGGCACCAAAAGGAGACAGATGGTCGTATAGGTTCAGCAGGCACCATAAGGAGACAGTTGGTCGTAGGTTCAGCAGGCATCATAAGGAGACAGTTGGTCGTAGGTTCAGCAGGCACCATAAGGATCGAGGCAGTTGGTCGTATAGGTTCAGCAGGTAGCATAAGGGAGCAGTTGATCTTGGGTTCAGAGGACCATATAATGAAGCTGATAATATTGGATTCAACTGGTTCGCTCTGAATGAATAAATAATTCTTTACATTTCAAGAAACCACGACTACCACATATCGTTCATTTCTGTGGAGATGCCGCTAGTACATACCTGTCTCAGATGCACTTTTATGTGCCTCCAGACTTTTGACAAAGTTAGTGCATGAGGGATAGTGAGACACCATCTGTCTAGCGAACTTATCTTGATATGGGGGTGGTTGATCACGATACGCCTGATTGACACCAGACAGATCGTAAATGCAGATAGAGGAGATAACGACTGCAGTGTGAAGTACACTTAATTAATGCGGTACTCGAGACTACAACAAAATCAACAGTATTTTGTGCTTTTTTGTGTCTGAGGGAAAATCAACATTTGTGAGTTAGCCATCATATCACGAAGTCATTCTTCGTAACTGTTGCTAACCAAAGACTGGGTATTTGTGTTACAGGTTACCCTGTGTAATACCAGTGAAATAGTAAGGCAGTTGAAGAAAAGCTCTGGTAACTTGCTTATCTTGCACGGCAATTACTTATAACTACTGCAGTTGTGATCGCTAACGACCATCATGGCGCCTCAAGGTGACTCAGAGGTCAACGCTGTGTCCTTCGTTCTCAACGGCGAAGAACATACAGGTGGGTACAATGTTGTTACCGTGGGTACAATGCTGTTACCGTGGGTACAATGCTGTTACCGTGGGTACAATGCTGTTACCGTGGGTACAATGCTGAGGTACAATGCTGTTACCGTGGGTACAGTGCTGTTACCGTGGGTCAGTGCTGTTACCGTGGGTCAGTGCTGTTACCGTGGGTCAGTGCTGTTACCGTGGGTACAATGCTGTTACCGTGGAGTCATGGCTATTAAGGTTGTTTTCGTGGAGGTACGTTGTGGGTAGATGGAGTATTACCGTGTGATTTATTTTACACCCAATATTTCGTCTCTGCTCGGCTGCACGATACCGTGCACTACCGTGACGACATATTCAGTACAGCTGTCGGGGCACGACAGACGCCCACGTGTACCTTGACTCACTTGTCTTATGAACTTGAATTCAAAATAAGATTAGATTAGATGGCGTTTTTTGAATTTATCCTAGACAAAGTCATCACAAAAATATCATTAGCAACAACTCAGGTAATTCCATATACCCTTGTACAACAGTCAAGGCTAAATGCATGATTTTCCTCAAAGCTTTAGCGACGCCATATTTCATACCTCCATATCATTCCTCGCGGTGAAGGAGAGATTTTGGTGTCATGGTCCGTTTGATGATATTTTATTCTGTCTGTCATTGTTCGCCATTTCTCTCGTCTATTTTGTTCTGTCAGTCATTGTTCTCTATTTCTTTCGTCTATTCTCCGATGTGTTTATAGCTGGAGTTTCTCTTAATGATTTAGAGTTCCTGTAAACTGCGTACTGCTGTAAACTGCGTACTGCTGTAAACTGCGTGGTGCTGTAAACTGCGAACGGCTGTAAAGCTAACTACTATCTTCACCCACAATGCCGAAGTTCCATCGCCAGCGCGAGGGATTATCGTGTTTGTCTTGCGCGGTGACTTGCAGAATGTGAAGTGCAGAGCAGCAGGATGACTTGCAGGATGTGCAGTGCAGACAGCGGCGCCATCTTGCAGCGTATTCGAGATGGTCAATTTGATCCTTTGGTGGTCGTCCTCTGGCGGTCCACCTCAGGTTCCCTGGCAGTCCACCTCAGCTTCTCTGGCGGTCCGCCTCTGATTCTCTGGCGGTCCGCCTCAGCATGAGTATTTCGGCCGCTCCAGAAATCCCAGAAAAATCCCAAAAAATCCCAGGTTCAGAGTAAAAATCGTAGAATAGGTTTAGTTCAGACAAAATCCGTTCAGGCTGAACCTACTGAACGCAAGTTTTCCACCACTTCCTGCTTCATTATTATTGAGCATTTAATTGCGACGCAGGGTTGAATTTTGAGCCCAAAAAGCCTGGTGCAGTCCGCCGTCCGACGCAAGAGTGATGACCTACAGAACCTGTAGCATTGCTAGGCATGACCCACGACGATGAACATGCATGTCATCGTCAACACTTCATGCATCGAAGAGATGCGCGGCATCATGCATCGCTGCATAACACACGCCTTGAGTTTTCATGTCAGCCTTCAGATGTATAAATATTATTGCTTTCTTCATAACGTAACTCTACGACCGAGATACGCTTGTTCTTCATATCCATTTCGACATTCACGTCGTTGTTGACATACTTTTCCATGTTGTTATCGTTACGCGGGATGCTCACTACTGTCTTGCTATTACGTGTAGGCATACGCAGCTGCCTCGTCGTATCTCACACCAGAAGTTATGTGGGCCTGCAGGTTAATAAATAAATATTGTTATTAAAATATTACTACCTGACAGTGTCGCCCCCCGCCGTGCCCCTGGACATGCGCCTCGTGGACTACGTGCGCTACCACGTGGGGCTGCCGGGGACGAAGGTGATGTGTCGGGAGGGCGGCTGCGGGGCCTGCATCGTCGTGGCCACCGCCCCCGACCTGGGGGGAGGAGGCACCCGCACCTTCAGCGTGCAGGCCGTGAGACGAGGGGGGGATACGAGGGGAGGTGGGAAGTGAGGGGAGGTGGGACGGGACAAAGGGGCTGTGAAGTTATATAGCCAGGTATTAAAATCACTAATTAGTACCACTATCTGAGCCGTTTTTTACATATCACTCCATGTCGGGATTATCTCGATCATTTTCAATTTATACACAACACCGAATACTTTATGTTCACGCATTTGCTGACGTACAATACACGTAGGCACATAAAGTACACAGCCCGCCCTGTGCAGTGCCAGCTGCTGGTCTACGCCTGCGCCAACTGGCAGCTGGAGACCATCGAGCACCTGGGCGGCCGCAAGAAGGGGTGAGCCCGTGTAACTGTGGTAATTGCCGTTTTTATTATTGAATGCACAATACCGTGTATCAATATGCCGTGTGCTATATAAGGTGTCTTTAATTTCTGGTGTCTATCTTGTATGAGTGCAGAATATCTTGTATCAGTAGAGAATTTATACTCCTGCTTGCCAATTTTTTCTGACTTCAGACCAGTGATTAATGCATTCTGATTGCACTCAAATCGTTCGATCAGCTACGATTGTGAAATTATTTAGAATGTTTCTGAAGTGAGAATTAGCCTTTTTATAGCTATTAATCATAAAAAATCGAAAATTATTGTTGAAATCTCTAGTTAATGACAAACTTCATTGTATACCATAGGTACAGCTTAGGCTAGGTTGTTAGGCTAGGGTATGCTAGCTCAAGTTAGGATGGATTGTGTAATGATGTGCTGATTCTTTTCAAGCACACTGTTGAATTTCCTTTCTGGCAAGCCGTGCGTGTTGTCAACAAGAGCTTAAGAGCGTCTGAGAGCGATGAGAAATGTTTGGCTTGGTGACTCCATAAGTCTTAACACAACAGACTAACCGCAGTTAAACATGGGCTACATATGATTAATTCATGTGCATGCATAATACAAGAGCAGTAGACGAACCCATGAGTGGCTGACGATGTACATGGTCTGCATGAAGTGGACGGCAGTTTTGGTTCATTGCGCGTCTGAAGTTTGTTAAGATTTTATGTTGCATCACTAACGGTTATATGTTCCTCAGGTACCACAAGATCCAGCAAGCACTGGCCGGCTTCTATGGTACGCAGTGCGGGTACTGCTCTCCGGGCATGGTCATGACCATGGCAGGGTATGTACCAAGCGCTATATATATAGTGACCATGGCAGGGTATGTACCAAGTACTAGTGACCATGGCAGGGTATGTACCAGTGACTAGTGACCATGGCAGGGTATGTTCCTGGAACTAGTGACCATGGCAGGGTATGTACCAGGGACTAGTGACCATGACAGGGTATGTACCAGGGACTAGTGACCATAATTTCTGTATGTTCATTGGCACGAGGTTTATAAAGCATTATTTTCTTCTACAATTTCAGTGCATTCCAATATCTATAATAAATAAATATTTTTGTTCGCGCTCATCTACCGCGCTACAAATCCCCTAACTGATACCGGTACGTGCAATGCACGTCTTCACCACCAAGTGAGCTTGAGCCATGCAGGAGATTTACTGAATTATCATAATTAATAAACATGAGGTAATATCTTGAATTTTGAAGACTTGTGGTAGATATTTTGAGTGAATAATAAACTCTTTAAGTGGGAATAATTATGAATGGTAGATCCATTAACTATTAATTTGTTTTCTCTGCAATATATTTATTATTTTATGGATTACGCAAAACACCACACAATCTCCAAAAAAATTCTGACGTTGAATCAAACGTTAATTAAACGTCATTTCAACGTCATTTGCCAAGGGGTTGGATAAGAGGATCCGCCCCCTCAGGGAACTGGGGAGGAGGGAGCAGGTATAACTTTTTAATTATCCGTTAGTAATTAATTGTTTTAAGCATTGAGCTGTCCATGTAGACGGATGTAACTCCCCTTAGGGAGTTGGGGAGGAAAGGGTATATATAAATTAGTATTTTAATTGTCCTTCAGAAATGTGCTGTTTTAACATTAAAATTTCCCGAGTAAAGGGACCCAAACCCTCCCCTTCAGGGAGCTGGGGAGGAGGGGGACACGGTATAAATTATTTTTTAATAGTCCTATCAGAAATGTACTATTTTAAGATTAAACTATCCTAATTAGAAGGACCTAAACCCTCGCCTTCAGGGAGCTGGGGAGGAAGGGGACGGTGACGAGTGGGGAGGTGGAGGGGGCGCTGGACGGCAACCTGTGCCGCTGCACGGGCTACCGCCCCATCCTGGACGCCTTCAAGTCCCTGGCGGGGGACGGCGCCCCCGCCCTCAAGCAGCGCCTCGCCGACATCGAGGTGGGCGGAATATTTTGAAATTTCGGCTTTAAAAAAAAAATTACTCTAAACGGACTTTAAATTACTTTTACTACGGATTACATTAAAATTCCGGAAATTTTCAATGATATTTGAATAACTGATCGATGTTAGGTGAACGCGTCCAATAAAATAACAATCAAAACGCACCTTCTTCAAGTTTAGTCGCTGGAATCCGTTCGTATTCCTTGAGAGAAAATTTAAATTCACTATAGAATTCATTTGCAAATAGTAACTCGGAACTTAGATTGATTCATATTACATTGGAAAAGTTTTGATCATTTTGCTCTTGGAGAAACTGAACAAGAATCCTGTTCTCTGTTCCCACGGATCCTGCAGGAGGCGTACAAGACGACCTGCCCTCGCACGGGACAGCCTTGTGCTGGCAAGCTCAGCGACGGGACGTGTAGGAGTCAGGCTGGGGCCCATGGGACCACAGCCAAGGATGGGACCCTCGGAGGGACCACGGCCACGGAAGGTGCCCTGGCAGACGCCCGCCCTAGCGTCACCGCCGGCAAGGAGCGTTGGTTTCACCCCGTGTCCGGAGTTGTGAGTTTGGGCCCAACGCCCGAGTTATGTTGCAATCGGAAGCCAATTTTAATGTAGGAAAACTTCGAAGATTAAAGAGTTGCAATTGCAGTGTAAGTTAAGTGAGTTTTAGTTTCCTGTTCTTGTTGTTGGAGATAATTGGCTGCTTGTTTGATTGGCTGCTTGCTTGATTGGCTGCTTGCTTGATTGGCTGCTTGCTTGATTGGCTGCTTGCTTGATTGGCTGCTTGCTTGATTGGCTGCT